CCCCAAAACCCCAAAACCCCAAAACCCCAGGAAGAGGCCAAGCGGTTGAAATAAAAATTGTGAGTGCTTTTTAGGGTTTTGTGAAGGAGGATTAGGAGGAAATGGAGGAAGGTGAGAGGAGGTGGGTGAGGTTTGATAGGGGATTTTGAGGGGCTCTGTTGTGGTGGGGGTGGGGGAGGTGGATTGATAGGATTGAGTTTAGGTTGTAGCTTGTGGCTTGGGAGAGGTCGGTAAGGGGGGGTTGCGGGTTGGGTGACTGAGTGTTTGTGATAGAATTGAGACTTATTTCGTTGAGAGTTCTTTGGTAATTTTTATTCTCATGATTTGGCCTGGAAGATCTTTCTTGCATCAATTTTCATTGGTATTTATAAATCCTCCATTCCTTTGATACTAGTTGCATGACTGTAATAATTTATACAGAAATCACAATGAGTATGCTGACCCTCAAAGCTATCTCTTGCAAGTTAAGTCCAGAATCATTCTGTTCTCCTGAATAATTTGTAATGATATCATCGAACTCTGTGCAGTGTGAAGTGTCATTGCCCACATAGGGGAACATGAAATATTGAGCTATCCGTGTCCTGATACACTTGGATTTATTATCAAAGGCTTCTAGGCCTTTAATTTTAATGATATTTCCGATGTTTCTGTACAAGGTTTTCACATATCTTAATTCAAGCTCATGAAACCCATACTTCATCTCGGTTATCAATGTTCTTGCAAAGTACCTGAATTCCATCATTGAAAGCACCATTAAATATCTAAGATCAGAACAATCGTATTTCTGACATCTAAAGATCAATGACAATAAAAACTTTACTGTCTTCAATATCAACTCCACCGGAAAATTAAAATTTAATGGGTCCAAATTGATCATTCTGGCTGTGCCTAAAATAACTATCGTAATATTATGATTTCTCTGCATTTTATGAGCGATCTCAAAAAAATCTGATACCGGATTTTCAATAAAAGAATCAAATACACTTCCTCGCCAAACCTCACTGGCCAAGCCTGAGCTAATGACCATACAGATCATAAGTAGTATTTTCCACATTGTTTATAAAATTATTCAACTGAAAATTCCTTCTCGGGGTTTTGGGGTTTTGGGGTTTTGGGGTTTTGGGGTTTTGGGGTTTTGGGG